GGGTTACCAGACTGGGTTCTATACTATCAAGCAGCTGCATTAACATAGTTAAAAGAATGGATAACCCTTAGACACCCTTAGAAACAAAAGATTACCATACTTACAAGGACACAACTTACAACTTGGCTTTTCTATGGTATGAGAAGAATAAAATCCATAAATACTTTCAAAATCACTATGTAAGAAATGCCTTGCTTTTAACATGGGAAAAGATAAAAATGAAAAATTATATGAAAATACCAGGATGGATCTCGACAATGGAAGCATTTGTGCACCCAAATTTAATCAACTATGAGAAACTTGTGACCTATAGAGACATTTTGAATACTGAAGGGAAATTACAAACTAAACAAGAATTGGAACAACAGGGCATTGAGCTATCATGGTGGCCACACTTGCAAATGCAAATGAGATATGAAAAAGATGCCAAAACATATGGTTTCGATAAAGACCAAACAGATACTATTGACATCAGATGAAAAATTGATTAAGAAACTTTGTAAATTTTTGTTAAACTTGAAGATGGAAGATGAACAAGTTGAAGAACTTGGGCAAAAAAAATTGGGCACAATGTAGAATTAGAAAAATGGCAAAACCTGTGGGAAAGAAAATATAAAATAAGGGTATTTTATACTTATAAAGAAAATTTATATAAAATGTTTAAAAACATGTCTAGTAATTGTTGGAAATGTAGGCAAAAGCCAGGCATATACTTCACCTCTGGTGGACATATCCCAAAGAAAAAAAATTCTGGTCAAAAATACATATATGCAGTGGTGGGATTCAAATATGTGAACAACCAGTTGTCTGTGTGGATGCTACTTCCGGAAGTCCATTCTGGGCCTGGGCAACAAAAAATTAGCTACTGGTTCTGCTGAAGTGGTGCAGACCAGCTGAATCCCACCACTGCATATGTGGCTAGAGAAAATGTTAAGAAAACATGTAGATTTTAAGCCAGAACTATTTCTTTTAGGTATAATCACAGAAAACTATGATATATATATGGACAGGCTTACATTGAGAATGAAAGGGAAAGAAGACATAGAATATTTTCAAACACGGGATAACTTTTACAAATGACTAGAAAAACGAAGTAGAGAGTAAGAATGGAAATTGTATTATTATTAATGTCAAATATGTGGACCCACATATACACGTTGTTTATTAAGCACTAAAGATTTGTAACTACAAAAAATAATAAAATATCTATAACAAAAAAATATTTGGTGGTGACACCAAACTGTGTTTCCACCATATATTTCATCCCTAGTTTAGGGAATGATTTCTGAATAGTATTATATATCACGTGCTAATATTCAGATAACTTCTGTATTGTGCATATATCGCATCATAGATATGGTGGCAGATAAATGAATTGTCTGGGCAATGCAATTACTTCTTGGCAGACAATCCAATGGAATTCTTCATGTCTTTTGTCTCCTATTGATTCATGATAAGCCCTTAGCCATTATTTTAAACTGGAGAACATATCATGGCCCTTGTACTATGTATTGTACTTTGTGCCATAGAATCCAGAATCTATTTCCTAATACTTTCCCATCCTGTCCCAGAATTTCATAGAAGAGAACTGAAATGAAAAATAAAATTCCACTAATTGCTGAAAATTAATGGAAATTGAACTACAGTATTCATTAAAATACATGCTAATATGTATAGTATTTCTCTAAATTGAGGCAGCAGAAAGCATTAAAAAAGAACATTGTAGTAGAGGTGACATTAATTTTAATATTTACATCATCCATTTTTGGATAAATATATTTTACATGTAAATACAATAATTAAATCTGAAAAAAGCATGAAGTTTGTCTTAATTTAATTTTTTTCTCTCCCCCTCCCCCAAGCTGAGAGATGGTATGCAGTCAGCTATCCCTATCCACTCCGTTCATCTTAATTTGTTTTGCAAAATTTGCAGTGACCAGCTCTTCTCAATGGCCACATTCCCAATTACCTAAAGTATTCCAAGGTTATAGCTTAATTTTTGTCCATTATCTTGTGATAGAAGAACATCAATAATAACCTGAATTTCTAGAACTATTGTAGAGAAGAGTTATAGTGGATATAAAAAAAATCTACATACCCCTGTTAAAATGCCAATTTTTGAGATGTAAAAAAAAAAATCAGATCAAGATAAATTACTTCATTTCCCCCCACCTTTAATATAACACATAAGGTTTCCCTGGAATTGCTGTTCAGACATTTGCAGAGGCCTGCACCAAGTCCACCTGGTTGTCCAGAAATCTGATAACTCCTTGGTTTTGCATACAGCCCCCTAGAACAGCTTTTTTCATTTTTATTATTTTTTTGGCGATAGAGAAAACCTTGAAATAATGTTCAACTCTCAGGGGACCTCTGCATACAAATTGCAGAAAATACGAAAACTCTGGAGCCATTGGTGCTCTCTGAGCTTGGTTATTTGCTTGCAAATGTTTCATTACCCTAATAAGTAACCTAAGCAGTATTACCAACCATTAGATGTTATCTAATTGGGTAATGAAATGTATGCAAGTAAACAACCAAACCCAGAGAGCACCAGGGTTTCCACAGTTCAACCCTGATCTACATATATTCTCTTCTAGTGGAATATGAAAATGTCACAATACAATTACTTTCTAACCTAGACAATCCATGTTTTACAATGTTTACAGCAATGGAAAAGTGACAGATTGGCAGCTGAATCATGTAAAATTCCCACCACTGCAAGTGCTTGCCAGCATTGTGTGGCAGGCAAAGTTTGTGCAAAGTAGAAAAAAAAGTTGGTCTCTTGGTACTCCCAGAAGAATCCAGTTAGTAAAGGCTATGAGAGGATCAGAAGCCACAGTGGAGAAGCTCTGCCATAATCCAAGTAGAAGGAGCCAAGAAGTTGCAGACTCCTGTTTTTATTGAGTTGAAGGCCCTAGATCTAATAACAAACACATGGTAGGTACAACAGCTGGCAGATACACAGTTTTGCCAACCCTTGATGGTATCCATAGCATCCATAACTTCCTACATTTAAACCCTGCCTTATTCCATACTCTAATACAGGTGTATCCAACTTGCAGCCCGTGAGCTCCAAGATGACCCTGCACAGTTAGTAATGTGTCCCCACAAGACAATAAAAATATAAAATATAAGGAAAATGTGTTAATTATATACATTAACTATAGTATATACATTCATTAACTATACTTTATATGTGACCCAAGACAATTCCCCTTCATTTAATGCAGCCCAGGCAAGGTTGGATAACCATGGTGTTACACAACCTCAGCTCTGTTCTTTTTTATTCAGATATATGCAAGCTGCCTGGAGCAAAAGTAGAAGTGAAGAACTAAAGTTATACAGGACTGCAAGCAGGCTGCACTACCTAGGAAGCAGGACTTCATTGTACAAAGAGTACAATCCATCCTGAGGAAGGAAACTGTTTTGACAAGGACCAAAGTGGTTAGAGTTAAAAATGGATCACCTTTTACACTGTCCGGGTGAATACAACTTTCATAGGTATGTATTCACCCATTTCTGAGTGAGGGTTGGAAAGAGGTTTCTTCCTTCCTTCCTTACTTTGTTTATTTATTACATTTAAGAAGCCACCCATCTCACGACTCTGACTTTGGGCAGCATACAATAAAAAGCAATAAAAATACATTAAAAATGATAAAAGATGCATATAATAAGGCCACAGGAGAGTTTTAAAAACTCATATACAAAGATTTTGCCAGCTTCCTATTCTCAAGAGAACACTGGACCTGATGATAAAACCAAGGGCCTTCTAGGAGATCTGTTGGGGGGAGCCCAATCTCATGTCAGGGTAAATATTTCACAGGGCGAGTGCTACAGCAGAAAAGTCTCACTTCCTGGGTAAACTCCTTAGCAGACAGGACCCATAACATGCCCTTCCTACCTGGCTGATGGAACAGGTAGATGTAATAGGGAAGAGTCAATCCCTCAGATACTCTGATCCCATACCATGTAGTGTTTTAAAGGTCAGAATCAGTATCTTTAATTGTACCTGGAAGCAAACTAACAACCATAGCAGGTCTCATAATGTCCCTTTCTGGAGGCACACGTAACTGCTTGCAGTGTCACCCTTTGTACCACATTTTGAAGCTTCCAAATACTTATAAATAATCTTCAAGGGCAGCCCCATATAGAGTACATTTCAGTAGTCCACTCAGGAGGTGACCAGGACACAAGCAACTATGAGCAGAAATAACTAGAGAAAATAACAGGCACTTCTCAGTTTTTGACAATAGTTCACTGTGTCATAAATTTGCTGCAGAGAATAGCCAAGATTCAGGAGCAAGAGAAATGGTTGTGTTGTACATGAAAACTTCCCTTGCAATGGATAAGATCTAGAATAAAATTCTGTTGCTTTGGAAGAGTAAACTCTGCAGCACTTTTTCCCCTAAGGCAGGAATGGTATTAGTTGCACAGAAATCTCAATAAAAGTATTTCTTTTCTGTTCATCTGAATTTTTGGGGAAGTAGTATGAATCATTTTGTTTCTCATAGAGGCTACTTACTGGCACTGCTGGTAGACATGCACTACTGTCCATTCTAGAACTGATTGGCTATTCTCTGCCTCTGGTTGAAATAGTTGGAAAGGCTGTGCATAAGGTATTTTCCAGATATGCATAATTTCTTGAATATATGAATAGAGAAATAGTCACCTAACATTTTTGTAAATAAGCAAAATCTGAGGCAGGTAAGAAATATTGTAAAGTATTGTGATGATTTCATTTAAAGGATTTGGCTGTCAAATGAAGTTTTGTAACTGCCATCACTGTAGATTTGTAAAGTTCCTATGAACATGTGTATGTGTGCATGTGCAGGAAAGTTTTGGAGAAAGAAATCAGTCTTGCCAGAAAGCAATAACAAGATACGATGAGATTAAATTAGCTACACTTGGAATATATTTTATTGAAATAATGCCCTCCCAATCCTCTCAGTGTCCCTTCCCCTTCATGTCAAAATAACATAAGAGAAACAGGGAGAACAGAGTCCAGATTGATGTGACCTTTATTATTTTAAGAGCATTTCCAGCACAATTACAGTGTTACAGGACTGCAGCAGAAAGTTGAAGTTTGAACAAGATAGATGAACAGGTGAAGAACAAAAGAGGCCCATACAAACAAGGTGGTAAATGATAGATGAAGATTCAGATGAATCCAAACCTTTATGATTGATTCACCAGGATAATAAATTCTGGAAGAATGATAAAAATGAGAAGGAAACAAATGGTCAGTAAACAGAAGAGATAGCTGTGACAAAAGCAGCCAACTTTGTTGGTTATTTTTTATAACTGTTTTCCCTGTCTCACAGCAATCAAGGGGTAAGTGATAGATCATGTATTTCCTGTGCAGAAGGTTGTCTCATATTCAATTTCTACACTGTCCAGCTAGAATTGGGAAAACATCAGTCCATCTAGCAACACTAAGTTAGTCTTGACTATATTAGGCTAGATAGACCAAGGATAAAACTTACAAAGCAGCTTCTTATGTTCCTAGATATTATAATTCTCAACCATCTGTAGCTACTGTTGCTGATTAGGAATTTTGGGAGTTGTAATCCTAACATTTCTGGAGAGCATCAGGTTGGGAAGATTTGTAAGCTGACATGAAGCATCTCCTTGAAAGAAATTATGTTACCTCAGAGGGAATTGCATTGCCTCTGGTATAAAGTGGTTCATCACAAACCAACCTGGCCTGTCTCTTGCAGGCCTAATATTTAGTCTTGAGAAAATGGGATTAGAGCAGCACATTGTTGACTAAGGTAATTGATAAACTGAACATATACATATCTACTGACACAGAAGCAGCCTGATAGTAGAACCATTTCATGAGAGAAGGGTTAAACCCTTTCACTGCATGTGTTCAAATACTCTGAAATCTAAATTATAGTATTTGGGGGAATACTATAATTTAGATTTCTGGACTGAGCAAGGCGGAAGGCTCGATAGCCTGAACTGCCCCTTCCAACCTTATGATTTTATCACTATCTTTGAATGAATAATTATTAGTTCAGGTTCTTTAACTCGGAATGTCTGGTACGAAAGTTGAGATGTCCAGGGCAGTACACTTACCATCAATACCTATTTTGCCATCCTCATCTTTATCTCCAGCACCCATAAATTCTTGGGTTTCTTTGTCAGTGAGATGCCTGCTATTGGGGGAAAAAATCTGCAACATGAACCTGTGAATGGAAAGAAAAAGAACAGAAGAGCTGATTCCAGAGGTAATGGTTGTATAAATATTTATATTTGTTATATAGATATAGAATTTTATTTTATTTCAAAAAATGGTAAAAATAGTTTTTGGGAGAAAACTGAGATAATATAAAAACTATCTAGATCTTAAGATCTTAAGAAATGTCTGAATGTCTGAACAATAGAAGGAAACAAAAGAAAAACCCACACAAATTGAAACAGAACTAAAATGTATAATGAAAATTAAATCTTGTGCAAATCCAGACAGAATGAAAAGGATTTTAAATTAAGAATGAAAGGCTTCTGTGTAATGTATCTAGTAAACATGTATAAGTAGTCTGTTCTAAATTCAGGTTTAGTTATAAAAATCAAATTAATTTGTAAAATAAAGCTTATTTGTGTAGTCTAGTTTCCAAGAAAAATTATTTATGTATATCTTAGCTTATTGAGGAGAGAGGACATATAAGGAATGAGACAGGTTCTTCAGTGTATGAGACCTAAAGTACAGAGGACTTTAATGATCGACCAACCTGGAATTAATGGCAGCAACTGAACGTCATAGGACAAATCCTTGTGCTTGCAGAAGTCAGCATCCAATAAAGATCACCCTCCTTTATTTGGACCAACTGAAATTTCTAAATTATCCTGAAGGTCATCTTCATGGAAATTGATATTCAAGTGAAATGTCTATGGAGAGTCTCAATCATCCAGGTCATGGTTATCCCAAAGATGCTTTTCTGAAAGGCAACTGGACTTTCTTGGGGGTTTTTTCCTTGAAAATGTTTCACTTCTCATTCATTCTTCATGAACTGAAGAAGCTTCTTGGATGAGAAACAAAACATCTTCAAAGAAAAAAAAACAAAAAAGTCCACTTGCCTTTTGAAAAAGCACCTTTGGTTCAAGTGGAATGGATTACAGCAGAATGCAAAGCGGTTTGATGATAAAGTATACTCCGGCCACATTCTTGAACTGAAGAATATTCCTGGAATATTCTTATGTTTAAGCTAGCCACTTACTTAAGGGGAAACAGGATGCCATTAATTCCTAGTCAGCTAAACCACCCATCACCCTCAGCACCTTCCTCTCTGACTTATCTAGATTTATGGTATATGCTTTCTCTTTAATGTATGTTTGTGTTATAGAGGAGGAAAAACCTTGAATGAATAACCTTAAATTTGCCTAGGAAAGGATGTTGTCACTTGTTAGGTACTTAACAAGAAAGAGAATGCAACTAGAAAAAGCACAATTTCAGATGCTATGGTGGTTATTTCAAGCCATTCTCCATCTCTGTAATTCAAGCTATATTGGCTGAAACTGTCCTACAGAATTTTTACACAGAAAAGGATGGATGGACTCTTAATGGACTTAAAACCAGAATAGATTTAATGGAGTTAAGTTTCAGGAGAATAGATCTTAGTTGAACATCATGAGAAATGTTTCAAAATCAACACAAATAAATAATAGATTTTACCCATTTGATGGGCTGGAGGGAAAATTGTTATTTTGATTTATTCGATTTTATGTCTGCCCATCTTATCTAAGAAACTCTCGGTGGTTCATAACAGGTAAAAAAAAAACAAGTTAAAAACCAATATGCAAAAATGTAAAAACATGTAAAACATGTAAACTGTCTATAATTAGTTTAAAAAATCGAAAATTATGATCACCAGCAGAATTTATTCTACATCAGCTTAACTGTAAGAGCTCCCCAAAATGGCATGCCTCCCTCTCCTTTAGCAGTTCAGGATGGTGATGGACTTGGACAGTTCCATGATTTGCTCAATATGTATAACATAGGCTGTAGTCTTTAATGTAACATTACTGTTTTCCCCTCCCCTCCTCTTCCCTCCCCTGCCCTGCCCTGCCCTGAAAGTTAGCTAGAGTATTAGGAATAACATTTTAATTCAGTTCAGAATTTTATATTCAGATTGCATTCTGATTTTATTTCTTTAATGATTTATTAGTGACAAAGAGTAGTATAGACAGGTATACTTTCCATATGACTAGAATTATGGAAGTTTATCAACTATGCCTGTATTTTTCTGCTAGTAGCCAGGGTCAAAAATATCAACCTGTATTCCACATTACTAGCATATAGCACATTTCAGTTGGTACATGTTGTGAAAGGAATATTAATCTTTGCTTACTGTATTTCACCGGGTTCAAGATAGCCATTTTTATCTGTATCCAGAATGCTAAAAAACATTTTCAGTTCTTGGAGGCTTTTCTTTTTCAATCCCAACACCTCAAAGAATTTCTTGTAGTCAAAAGAATTGGTAGCTGCAGGAAGATGAACAGAATTTGGCTTGCATGAGCAATTTTTGTTCCTTTTGTAGAAGACATGGTCCATTCATTTTCACAGTATAGGAGCAATTAACTGATACATGTTTGTTCATTTTTTGGGAAAAGCAACGTCAGGTGATTTAACTATGTTAATGAGTGCCATCACAGCTTGAACCAATAATTGTAAATAAAATAGTGGAGATAGTTCACCCACCAAATGTAAATAATATTGTAACCAAAAATGACCAAATGTTAGTATCCATTTCAGCCTTACTTATTCTGGTGCCTTCCAGATACATTGGGATCAGAATTTCTCATACAGATTGCAGAAAGCTGATCTGTATGCACATATATAAACATTATTTTAATTTTTGTCCTTCACATTTCATTTGGCATCCTTTCTTTAATGATTCTATTCCATCATTTTTTGATATTAGTGTAACTCTTGTTCCACTGCAAGTTGGCCACGGTGAGTTATCCCATTCTGTGACTATAGTCTTTGAAAATGGGATCCAGGCATGGTCTTGTTAGGAGACTCAGAGAGAGAAACACTATCTGGTGGATGAGATTTATGTAAATAATAGATTTATATAAATGAGATTTATATAAATAATGTCTTAACTGAGAACAGAACTGTGGTATCTGGTATTCCTATACAATGATTATATAGCTCATGTACAGCAAACAAGAAATTTCTCGCATCTCTGATCTATTGCTTCCACTGCTGAGCAATAGCAATCCTATGGTGGAACATGTATTCAAGTGAAAAGAGAAGGAAGTGATGGCTGATATGACTTTGTTAATATTGTAAAGATATTACAACAGAGCATAAAATCTACAAATGTAATGGCTACTTCAAACATCTACTTACCGTGCAAATGGAATTCATATTCATTGGAATGGTTAATGTGACAAAAGTCCACTCTAGCAGCCTTTGTGCTCAGCTGCAACTTAGCACAGTACAATATTGTTGTTCTGCTTTGTTGCCTTTATCTCATTTCCAGGCTATGAGTGAAAAGCACTAAAGTTGTCATTAGGTGTGTCCCTTTAAGATGACATTGTCCTCACCACAGTTTTAAAGTAGGTAAAATCTAGAAAGCCCTATCCGACTGTCAGAAATGATCATAAGTATATTTGGGGAGTACTGGGAAGTGCAGAGAATCCTGTGGTCACTATCCAGCATTCTCTCTCTGCTTTTGCCATACCTCCCTTCTTTCTAGGGCTGTTTCTCCCTCCTTCCTTCCTTCCTTCCTTCCTTCCTTCCTCCCTCCCTCCCTCCCTCCCTCCCTTCCTCCCTCCCTTCCCTCCCTCCCTTCCTGAAAGATGCCCAGCTTGTGCAAAAATGGTAGAAAAGTTAGGATGGACAAGCCTACCAATCCCATTCTTCTTAATGTGCCCTGATTGCTGTATCTTTTCCTACCAGCTGAAACAGGAAGTAGGCAAGATAGAGCAAATAACTATTAACCTTGCCTTTAATTATTGGCATGCTCATAAATAACCAAATAGCATTTGGCAGTGACTTGAAACAGATGCAGTGGAGGCAGGATAGGGATTGGCAATGGAAACAACAAAGTTTATGATTCATGGATGGATGGATAGTCCATTCATCCCCAACTCAAGGTCATCTGTTGGCAGGAAGAATGCAAAAATTAGATGACTGTAACTAGTAAAACTGCTGCTGCTGCATGTAATCTAAGTATGTATGTATGTATGTATGTATGTATGTATGTATTCATTCATTCTATTGTTCATTTGTTTCCTATCTTTCTTCTATTACAAATAGTTCAAGACAGCAAACATGTCCAACACATCTTCCTCCTCCTGTTTCCTCATAAAAACAACCCTGTGAGGTAGGTGTGGTTGAGATAAAATGATTGGCCCAAAGTCACCCAGCTGGCTTTCATGGCTAAGGTGGGACTTGAACTCACCATCTCTTGCTTTCTAGCCTGGTACCATTTCAGCTTTGCACATTTTGTTCCTCGCTTTTCTTCCTTTTTTTTATTTTTAGGAATACCTAGTACTTTACATAGCATATAGTGAGTATTCACTTGGAAAGCAGCATGGACTAGATAGTGAATAGATGACCATATAGATGTGTGTAGATAAATACATACTTGTGACAACTGTAGAAGCAAGACTTTTTATCTAATTGCTTTGAACACAGGCATGAATTGTACCTATCTTATTATGGCAGGACCCTGTCAGTTTATATGAAATAACACTGCTTTTAATTGGGACTGTCAAGGGATGACTGCAAATTGATTGCCCCGCAAATTAGATGTGGCCAGCATTATATGAACAAAAGAGACTATTAGGTTGCAGTTACATCCTCATGCCAATTGAAACTGCAATTGGGAAAATGAGCCTAGGAAATGATGTAGTTGCTTTAAAGAATTACAGACAATTCTGTTGTCTATTGAATACTATTCTCATGTTCTGTCTTGCTAGAAGCACCATCTCCACATTATTTGTGAAGCACTGCATAACCATAATGGAGATAATAAGACTATTTTTGTGGTATTTTGGAAAGCACAGTAGGGAACATCAAACCAAAAAGGATGCAAATGTAACTTTAGTTTTTAAGAAGAAAGAGGGTTAAGGTAGGGTTAAAATGGGAATTGTAAGAACTCACTGTCTATTGACCAGGCATATGTTATTCTAAATTATTTATATAATTGTACCATTTGCAGTAAAGATCCCTGCTCCATGGTATTTACAGCCAACATTTCACCTTTTTGTTTTATTTTTTGTTTACTTATTTTTCCATTAAGTACCACAAGTGCTTTTCCACTAAGTCCAAAGCCAGATGTAGTAATGTTTCTATAATTATTAATAGATTTATATTCCACCTTTATTTTATAAAGTCCGAGGTACCACAATTAATGCTTTAGTCTCCTATTTTCCTCATTGCAACAGAAGTAGGCTTTGCCAAAAGAGGCTGACTGACCCAAAGTCATCCAGGTGACCTTATTTGCCTTCAGCTACATTTTAGGACCTGATCAGGAAACCAGCCTAAGAAGCTGAAAGATAATCACTTCTCTTCCTCTCTCTCTGTCTCTCATCTTTCTGTCTCTCTCTCCCATCCCCTTTCAGCCTACAGATATGTCCCAGCTGCCTAATAGAGCTAAGTGTGAACTTTTGCTAATGAGGACTAAACTCAGTGTAATACAGGAAATTAATATATTCATGATTGCATGATATTCACACAGTTTCACCCAAAAGATTCAAGACACTTCAGGTCGTAAAGAAAGAAGTATTTTAAATACCAAGCCAATAATTTGTTTTTTTTTGGGGGGGGGGCAGAGACGGATACAGGATCTAGCAGTTCAGTGGTCTGGTTATAGCCCAGAGAAAAGAGAGGAATTTTTCTGAGGTCCACTGGATGTCCAGGGCATTGGCAGAGTTCTACAAGAAAAGAAGTAGTAGTTTCAAGAAAATGAGAAAGTAATATTCTGTTAGATCAGTATATGATGAGTCCTAGGAGAAGAGAAGACAAGGCAATAGATATTTTAACCATCATTCTGTAATAGAAAAAAAAATCCTGGGAGAATTTCCCATTGTCAATCAAGAGTGCAGAATACTGCTTCCTTAATTTCCATATTTTAAAATTGCTGTCTACATCTTAAGCAGAAGGGAAGGCTAGAATTAAAGAGGGTTGACAAATAGCTATTTGTTTAAGCTTTTCTCCAGTGGATATTTTGTATAAATTATTTCACAGTGTGCGATGAGATATTACTTAGGAGATGACTATAAAACAGGCTTTGTATATATCACAGCCATGACATGAGCTTGTCTCTCTGACTCTCTCTCTCACACACACATGCACACGCCTCACACAATAACAACAGTAAGAACAACAATAATAATGTTGATGATAATCCTCAAGAGTTTAAATGGCTCAATTTAAATAGTGAGATAATTGTCACCTTGGTTTATACATCCAGGAGAAGTAACGGGGAAATCTGATACAGTGACTTTAAGAAGTGCTCTGATTGGCAATGTCTTTCATTTGGACAGCTTTCTTTTTCTGGAACAGCATGTAAATTTAGAGGAAATCAATGAACAGAAAGAGGAGGAAGATGTGAGTTGGAAATCAGTCCACTCCTAGAGGAATCTGTTCTATGGCACACTTTCCTTGTGTGATTGCTATTGTTTCATTCAGGGCATTTACCAAGGTCACAGCAAAATCACACAAAAATTGCAGTGTTTAACTAAAAGGGGAAAGGACACAATTTAGTCTGTAACTTGCATTAAGCAAATATATACAGAGAAGCAGAGATTAGCCCAGGACTGGACTCTCTTTTTCTGGTGGAATGATCAGATTTCTGCCTCTCGAAATGAACAGGATTTTCTTCCCCAATTTAGGGGATGAAGAAAACCATTCCATAACTAAACTGTGAATTCACCTGTGTTACTAAAAATAAATTCATGGATTAAAATTGTTTTAATTGCAAGCATATGTCTAGCCATGAAGCTGATATGCTTTTATTTGGGGTTGATTCATAGATCGTGGGGTTTTTGCAAAAAATAAAGTGGATTTTGTAAGTTTCAGACCTGCTCATTTGTCTCTCAACCATATGATATCAGATAGTTTGAGAGAGTGACAGTTCCAAAAAGCTGATTTGGGACACTGCTTAAAGTGCTGGACCAAAACTGTAACACTCTAGTCTTGTGGATGGCTTGGATCAACCACTCCCTCAACCCAACCCACTTCATAGGATTGTTGCTGTGGGGAAAACAGGAAAAAGGAACATTATGTATACACCCTAAAGTGTATAAAAGAAAAAAAAAGGCAGGATATAAATATAATAAGGAGAAAAATAAAGTCCCATAGAAGAGAAAAGCCTGAAGATACTTGGGTGAAATAGCACTGGCTTGCTTGAAGGAGATTTCTAGGTAAACTAATCCAGATTTGTCTTCCAGGTAAACTACTCCAGATTTTGGAGGAAAAGAAGCCTGTGCCAAACAGACAATGTTGACCGTGCAGTCTAATATATTTGGAGGGCCCTAAGACTTCATAATGCTAAACCAGATAGTTCTATGTTCAGCCATGCCCACTGGTATTACTTGACAGCAGTACATCCATCTGCAGTCTGGGCACACTCAAGTTATATGGAATTTCCCAGTCAGCATAGTCAATGGCCATTGCTGAGAATTACGTGACTTAAAAGTCCATAGAACAGAAGCAAACCAAGGAATGCTTCAGCAATACTTATAATATCAAAGGAGCATATACATCGAAGACATATCCACCAAAGTGATAATTTGAGAGATTAGAGTGGCCAGACATCAAAGAAGGCAGGAGAAGAGATTTTTGATAGAAAGAAATTCAGCAAATCTGGTCTGCATGCCAAGCAACACCTGGAGAAATAACCTTTTTGATGCAGCTGGCAATGTGTGGGAGCTTGTCATTCTTCTTTCTTGCATCAGACCACTGTGGATTCCTTCCTCACCCCCCCCCCCAGAAGAAGTAGAATAAGCTGAACCTGGCCCTGTGTTTTAACATGACCTTTCTGCCCCTTGAGCCCATGGTCACAAGAGGGCATCTATGGTGTCCAGAATGCCCATCTAGCGACAAAAATGAATCAATCACTATGTGCCAACATCAAATAATTATGGGAAGTTGCAAGGAAATATGACCATTCCTGTCTTCATTCTGCCCTTATAAATGACTCCATTAAAAGTAATTGATTTCCTCTCCTCCCCTTTAAAAAAAAAAAACTGTCTCCTGGAAAGCAAATAAAAAATAAACCAAACCAATGACAAGAATTTGAAACTCTTGGAAAGATGGGAAAACAGAGCAGAATATTGCTAAAAACGTGGCAACCTTGCTTTCTCCAGGTTGGTGGCAAGGCAACTTTTACTGTATATGCCCTGGTCGTAGAGAGTCCGGCTTTGCGGGCGCTGCAGTGCAAAAGATCTGGCGTGTCCCTGGCTGAAGGGTAAAGCCAGAACTTCCTTTGGGCGCTCTTCCTTGGGCTGATAGAATGTGCGGTCTCCGCTAGCGCAGCACAGCAGCAGCAGCAGCAGCCGCCTCCCAGCGTCCCCCCTCGGACAAGCTTTCCTTACGCTCAAGGAAGTTTTTGGCGCAGGGCTCGTCCCCGGACTCTTCCCGTCTGCCTGCTTAGGCTTGGGCGCCCAGCCCTCTCTCCCTTCTCCCGGCGCCTCCAGTTCCCTCTCCTGCCTGAGCTCCACTTTTTTTTTTTCCAGCGACGCGGACCTTCCCGCACCCATCCTTCCCGCCCCGTGGGAAAGGCTCACCCGCAAAGGCTCTCAACATCTTCTTGATCTCCTCGTCGGTAAACAAGTCAGCCATCGCCATCCTTGCAACTGTTGGGGGAAAGAGTGGGAGATAAAGTGCAAGGGAAGACTTCAGATGGAGGGGGGAGGGGAAAAGTATCCTTCTCCTCGGTTTTGCTCATATGACCAGAGCTGCAGTGCTGGGCGGGGATGGCACACCGGGATAAGGCTGGACCCGTGCCAGCCACCACCACTACCACTGCCAGCAGCAGCAGCAGCAGCAGCAGAAGTGCGGCGAGGCGCGCACCTAGGGCAGTTCTGCGGGTCGCTCGGCCAGGCGCACTACTTTGCAAAGGGACCAAGACCAGATCAGAATCAAGACTTGTCTTGTCTGGGAGAAAGAGCCATTTAGGGCACGGAGAAACGTGTGCGTGCGTGTGTGTGTGTGTGTGGGGGGAGAGCAGTGCAGCAGAAAAACGGGCCAATGCCAAAACCAGCACTATAATTATAATTATTATTATTATTTTAAATCAGGGGCAGTTGTAAGATCGCTCCTATCTTTCCTCCGAGCCCCGGAAGATCCTTGCAAAAAGAGAGCGAAGTTCTGCCTTTCGTGCTACTCTCAGCATTAATCCGCAAGGCAGCAGAAGGAATTTGCCCAAGGTCACCCAGTGAATGAACTCCGGACGCCCGCACTGTAAAAAATAAATCCTGCTCTCTCGGGGCTTAGTTCTAGAGAGGAGATAGGCTTTTCCCATTCCAGCATGCAAAGCTATACCTCTCCATCACCCTTTTTGTATTGTGAATTAAGTACCGCGGAGGGGGGGGTGGTGGTGGCGGGAAGGCGGCCGTGGGAAGAGGTACTTGTATTTGGTCTTCCTTGCTGCTCCAGACAAGACTTGCATTGTGCACACCTCAACCTCACCTTTTTGATAGATAAGAAGAGGCTTCCTGCCACACGCTTATTTTCCCACCATTCAGGTTTTTAGAGATGGCTCCTCCACCTAACTTTCCCAACTCTGTCCAAGATACTTGGCCCCGTCCCTGCTTCTCCTTCTTAATGGATCTGACACAGTAATGGAAGGAATATAGATGGAAGGAGCTGTAGGAAAATACAGAGTGGTTATATATGGCAGCAAGGTTGTGTAAAAGGTTCACACTTGAAACAATATTCAGCTACATGATAGCAGCCAGTCAGGTTCAGAAATCTAGATTTATTTTACTAGATCTTATGCTTTTTCTTCTCATTTAATCAAAAATTTTATAACTCGGATATAAGATGTATTTTCCCTTCTATAGTTGGTTCTCCATATTAACCAAGGCAGCATCCTCTTGGGATTGGTTCTTTCACATATATTTTGAATGAGCCATTGTAATATTTTAAAATAAGTTACAAACATCCCTTTTGATTTTATTTTAAGGACAGCTTGATTTTGTTTAAATTTCTTTTTTCCTGAAATTGCTTATGATCTTATTAAGTGTTCTCAGCAATTTAACTTTTACACACTGGCTGAAAAGCAGCTCTTTTCTCATCGTTTCCAGTCTGATTCAGAACTTAGCCCAATGTTTTACCTTCATTTTAGTGTGCTATGTTCTAAAACTGCAGCTATAGTCATCTATAGTCAGAATAAAGTCTCTGCACTCAATATGATGCGTAGCTGAATAAATGTTCCTAGTGTTCACTCTAAAACATTTTCCAACATATTCTTTTGGATCCTGTATATATATATATTAGTTAAAAACATCAGGTATTCCTCCTCCTCCCCCTCCTCTTCCTCTTCCTCCTCCTCCTCCTCCCTCCTTCCACCATAATAATAATTATAACAATTCATTTTTTATTCTTCTATGAGTCTGTAGGGATGTAAAATCAGGAGAAAACAAAAGCTTTAAAGACTGCATTAATCACAAAGAAAAAGTGGAAACGGCTTTTCGATAAATGTGCTTAACAATAAAAGAGGGTAAAAACCAGTCAAAGGAAATCCGAGAAAAACATAGATCTTACAAAGTCATTTAAACAAGGACAAAGAGTATCAGACCAATTTTCAGTAGGAAGAAAATTACAAAAGTAAGGGCTTGAGGAAATGTAATGCATTATTCCTGCTGATCTTTCTTGGAACAAAAGGGCCATACTCCAAAAGAAAGAAAAGAACATAGATGAAGGATAAAAGATAAAAAGATCAAAAGTATAGTCTGAAATATAATGCTCAAATAGCAGAAGCCAGTGAGGCTTGCAAAGGGAAGCTGTACCCAGTCTAAATAGAAAGAACAAAAAGTAAAGTATGCTGTGCCATTTGCAAAATGTTGATCGTTTAGAGATCACTCAGGGAAGCCATAATTATATCCTCCTGCTTGGTACCTCAAAATTATTCTCAGAAAGTTTACCAGATGGCTAAAATCTTTTTAGTATTATATTGTGTGTGTGTGTGTGTGTGTGTGTGTGTGCAGGGAGAAGTGGAGCACTGGCATTTCTGACTACAATGTTTCTAATAAAGGAGAATAGTTGTAGCGCAGGGTCAAAATGAGGGGTCCTTGAAAAAAAGTTTGGTTGTTTTCTTGCAGATGTTTCATTATCCAAACTGGATAACGTCATCAGGGCTTGTCATATTAGTACAGTGTTTCTGTAAAGATACTTGCATAAATTTACTGTATATATGACTTTACTATATATGACTTTTGTTGTTTTTTACTTAGAGAAAACCACCCTTTTTGTGTCCTTTGGGTGTCATTTTCTATAGTGATAGCTGTATTGTACTGATACTTTTAGGGCCACTAGATTCTTGATGGTACCAGCTTTTGCTTACTCCTACCTTGTATCCGATGCACGGACATTGGTTATGCCAGGAGTAAGAATTTATGACACTCTTCTCCCAAATGCTAAATTGTATCTTCCAATATTCTTTTGCAGTAGCTAAATTGTTGGGACTTATGAGAATTGTAATTTGGCAAGGTCTGTAGAGGCCATGAATTTTTCATCTTTTTTTTGTGAATTCTGCTCTATAATCCTAGGTTGTTCTTATTTATTTGCCAAAGGTTATATCCTAATCCAGGCCATAGCTATTCTGCTTCCCTCCAAACAGGTGTAGTTATCTTCCCATTTTATCCTATCAATAACCCTAAGAAGGAATTTGATAGAGAAATGGCTGACTGTTCTAGATTTATATACTTTATTGAAATTCTGTGTTAGATTTGAGATTAAAACAGTCTTTTTCATCTTGGGCAAGTATTCTAACCATTCAGCTACACCAGCATCAAAAATGTCCTTAAATTCTATAATTCATCTGTAGTTAACAGTGACATTCCTGTTCACATTCTAAATTTGACCCAACTGGATTTATTGCAACTGATATAGCTTTGCTCAAAATTTATTTATTTATTTATTACATTTCTGTGCCACCTATTTACTCTGGGCAGCTAACAAATAATAAAAAGATAAATACATCTAGTCCTCGACTTACGACTACAATTGAGCCCAAAATTTCTGTTCCTAAGCAAGACATTTGTTAAGTCATTTTTTTCCTCATTTTACGACCTTTCTTGCCACAGTTGTTAAGTGAATCACTGCATTTATTAAGTTAATAATATGGTTGTTAAGTGTAACTGGCTTCCCCATTGACTTTGCTGGTCAGAAGGTTGCCAAAGATGATCATGTGATCCCAGCAGACTGCAACCGTCATAAATATGAGTCAGTTGCAAGGCGTCTGAATTTTGATCATATGACCATGGGGATGCTGCAAGGGTCATAAGTGTGAACAACAATTGTAAGTCATTTTTTCAGTGCCATTGCAACTTTGAATGGTCACTAAATGAACTGTTATAAGTTGAGGATTACCTATATATTGAATCTTGATGACCAAAAATACCAGTTTAAATGCATAGAGCCAGTTTCATGTATTGGTTCAGGGAAACCAGGAGACTGTGAGTTCTAGTTTTGCCTTAGGCACGAAAGCTGACTGGTTTACCTTGGGCCAGTCACTGTCTCACAACCCAACCCACCTCCCCGATTGTTGTGAGGAAAATAGGAGGAAATAATATTATGCATGTTCCCTGCTTTGAGTTATATATACAATACAAATAATAAAGACAGGATAAAAATCAGATAGATAGATAGATAGATAGATAGATAGGTAGATAGATAGATAGATAGATAGATAGATAGATAGATAGATAGATTTTTGTATTACTCTTTTGTCTAGAGATGGATGCATTGAGTACTAATTGGAAAGAGCAGGCAGGAAATGAACAAAGTTGCCTGTAAACTGCAAGGATAAATAGTTCTGCAGGTATACTCATAAATTTAGGGAGATCAGGTAAGAAAAGAGAGACAATTTGTTGTAGTGGTGAAGGCATCAGGCTAGAAACTAAAGCCCGTGATTCACAGTGGCAAGAAAGGTGATACAATGGGGCAAAACTCACTTAACAAATGTCTCGCTTAGCAACAGAAAATTTGGGCTCAGTTGTGTTTGTAAACTGAAGACTGCCTGTATTTCTAAAACTTTGCCAAGAAAACTGCAGGGACTTTTACAGGCAGTTGTCACAAGTCAAAAACTGGCTTAAAGGCACATGGGCACTTGTATGTGTATGTGCACACTCACTCACTCATTCACTTACTCTCTCACACATACACAAGTGATAAAAGTTGCAAAATAACTTTTCCTATACATGCTTAATAGAGAGGTAAATGACTTGAGTCTTAACCAGATGAACTCCTAGTAAAGCGGAGGGGTCTCTTCATAAAATGCAATCCCTGAAGAACCCACTTCATTTCTTTTATGGCTTCTGATAAAACTTCAATAAGGAGTTCTGAGATTTATTGGAGATCAAGAGATACAAAGACAGCTGGAGCTCCAGGAAGCAGATAGTTCATAGAAGAGACAGCCAAGTGAGAACTTTTGCAGGTCCCCCCCCCCTCTTTTGCAAGTCAAAAGAGGATCTTTGAAAAACAGCCTCTGCTTGATTAGATTGCCTGGAATAAATCAGGAGAAAGAGCAGTTGAAGGGTCCAGTTGAAACTCAACTCTGTTATTGTTAATTGGAGGAGGGGACGATTGCCCCAACAGTTGTCCTGCTGTCTTAGTCCAGATGAGTTTTGTACTCAAGGCAGATCATCAATTCAAATAGACAATCCCAAGAGTTATGGTTTTACCAGCACACTTCCAGATTACTGGCTTGGAAAGACAAATAGAAGAAAGAATGAGGTGAGAAAAGCAGTGTGAGTGGGTGTGTTTGTGTGTATATATATGGGGGATAAGGATGGGCCATGAACATTTGGTCCCCACCCTCTTCAGAGGTCTGGGTGACAGTTCTGGAGTGCATCTGGTTGAAGACCTGAGTGAGTGCAGGA